GAATAAAGACGCCAATTGCTCTGTTGCATATTAACCACTGATTTAAATTTACTCTCGCCAAACGAATAGAGGCGTACTAGGGAAACGCCATTCCTCATTTGTCAAGCTTGAAATACAATGAAGTGACTACAATGCATTTATTCAGGCAATTAATCAGTGGCGCTAGGAGTACTGCTACTGTACAATATGCAAAATGCTCAAGGGAGAGCAGTTTTGACAGAGGAAAATCGGCTGAGCAAGGTGGACTCTGTGTAGACAGGGACCATAAAGACTGAACAATAGAGCTGCTCTTCCTCATGTACCTCTGTCAATGACAAGGTGACCAGTGAGAGAAGACATGTATTGTTCAGTCCATCTGGGCTTCAGAATCCTGTTGACTCCATATGTGACCCTGGACTACAAAACCAGTCTTAAGTCGCTGGGGTATATTTGAAGCAATAGCCAAAAATACATTGTATGGGTCAAAATTATTGAGTTTTATTGTACAATTCTGGTCTTTTTTTATAGACTACACTCAGAATTTTAACATATAAACTCAGAATTCTGAGATATAAACTCGCAATTCCAAGTTTAGATCTCACAATTCTGTGTTTATATCTCGTAATTCTGACTTTTTTCTCTGAATTTTGAGTTTACTACAGAGCTCCACCCATGACATGCAAGAAAAAAAAAGTAAATCGTGCACACAATTTACTAATTTGTTTCCTCGTTTTAAGTAAATGGTGTGCTCGATTTAATAATGTGTTGACTCGTTTTAGTAAATTGTTCTCACGAAATAATAATTGGTGCTCTCGTTTTAAGCAAATTGTGCAAACAAAATAATTTATTCTGCTTCCTGTCCACATTCTCCATAGTTTACATCTCGCAATTCTGTTTTTCTCTCCCACAGAATAATTGACAGGCGATCTGACCAATCATAATGCTGAATCTGCCATTTTTGACTGACAAACAAAAAAGAGAGGAGAGTAGATTAATGTCGGTGGACTTGAAACAAGAAACAAGATACCTTCTAATGTTCATTCATGTTTTCAACTAGTAAAGAGAAAGAGATGATTGGTACGCGTGCCTCTTGAACTGAGGAGCTACAGCAATCTGTCACGACACATTAAAGAGCCACAAAACAGCATTTATTGTTTGAATTTCTTAAAAAATGACACAATTTGAAAGCTGAGACTTTGTTTCATACCAAAAGTAACCTGCTCTGTCTTGTGTGTCGGTGCGTTGTCAGTTTTTTTCACTGCTTCAGAACATGATGTGTGGCATGAGAGTGACATGGCTTGTTGGACATAGCAACAGTAACTAAGGGTGGGTGGTGGGTCTTTGCGAAGGGTCAATTATTGAAATTCTTGCAGTTTTGAAAAAGAAAAATTCAGAATTGCAAGGATTGCAAGAAAAATGTCAGAATTGTAGTCACAATTATCTTTTTTATTTTTATTCCATGGCAGAAGCAGCTTCAGGAGACAGTATGTTTAATGTTTATTAAATTAAATAAGCAATGTGCAAAGGAAATTTTTTTTTTTTTTTTACCACACAAAGTTTCTTCCAATCTGCTAATGTGTCCAGTATAGAACCACAAATAATCAATTCAATTCATATTTATTTGTAAATTAAGCATCGTTTTACATTTTGAAAATGAAATAGCAAGGCTTTAAACAGCTGAAACAGCTTTAAACGGCTTTAAACAGTTAAAAGGCTTTAAACAGCTGTTTTATTTAATTTATTAGATTTAGAATTACTTTTTTTTTTTTAGCATTTTTTTAGCCTTTCAATACTTATTAATATATAAAGTATTGTAAACAAATAATAAAATTAATGTAGCAGTTGTCAGCCCTAGTATTTCAATTATTTGTATGTGTCTATACTGATTTCAGTGACTTCCTGCAGGCAGCTCACAGGGAGCCTGAGACTAAATCCAGTACAGACTAGTCCATCAGAAGTTTGTCTATCAACAAGCAGGTTTACATTATGAAATCATATCTGAAAACCTGCTTTCCTCATCTCTCTTGTGGACGACAGCCTGACAGAACAACAATGCTACACAGAGGACAAGCATTAGCAGACATCATCTGGACCTGTCAGCCAGCTTGCAAACTCACTATCTCAACATATGAGCATGTGACTTTGCACTGACAGTTTCAACCACTCCTTTATTTCGTTGTGTCTATTACTTCATGACCTCTTTCTTTTTTCTTATGAAGATTTCTAAGAAAATTTAACTACTCTGAGACATTCACTTTTCATTAAAGTATTTCTGACCTGCCCCACCTTCCAAAGGGATCTCTTTCAACAAACTCTGCAGATCTGAATCTGCTTTTCATTATTGTGAAGGGACCTGCAGGAAACTGAAGTCATGATAAATTATGATACCAAACTTCATTCTGGATCAATAGATGTAACATTTATCCCCCCCCCACCCCACCCCAAAAAAGCCCTGGTTTAATCTAATAATATGATGGGATAGAAAGGTGCATAATAAAGACATTTTTAGTTGGCATCAGCTATTAGAATTTTTTAGTTATTTTTACACAATTGCATATACAGTAGAAGACAAAAATTACACTCATTTTGTACAATGACCCATGAAATATAATGTGCCCTGGCCATGTCCATATAATGATTACATACTATACATCTACTATAGTGCTGCCACATTTATCCTGCCATTAAAAAGCTTTTAATGCTTCACAAACCTGTGCTCTTAAACACTAGTGGAGGTGTTGCAGACACATGATGGGTCACTCTGCGGGTTTATTTTTCCCATTGCTGATGCATCATTGCTACAGAAAGCTCTATTCTGTGAGATCAATGAAGGATAAAAGCAGCACTTTCTAGGTCATTTCCTTCTCAGGTCTCAGGACTTCTCGCTCATTGCACCATATTGCCAGAATCATTTATATTATCCCCTCACCTATCTCACCGCTTTTCCTGAAAGCTGTTGTATAAGGGGAGAAGAAAAACTCTGAAAATTAGCTTCTTAATAAACCATATTCAACCAAAACCTCACGAAAAAACTCGAAAGAGGACAACATTTATGCAATACTGTCATTTTTACCCCAGATCAAAGTCGTGAATGCTTAAAAACACAAACAACCTACAAGTACTCATAGACTGCAATGGAATTGGGCCTTGGGTCAAGCTAAATTGGGAAGCTCTCCTCAAAACATCTCTACAGAGAATTTCTCTTTTCAGAGAAACCTTCATCAAAGTCAGCCTTAGCAGTGACAAAGGGTATAAAAAGACCAAAATGTAAAAGTACACACAAGACTCCGTGCTGTGAGGCAAGTGAAGGAATTCTATTACGGTGGAAAGGATTGGCTGGTGAGCAATGGCAGGGCTCATCTTTGTGATGCCAGTTCCCTGTGAGCAGGTCAGAACAAAAAGCATCTCAACAGTTGGGTCTGGTCTGTTTGCTCTTTTCCCCAGGAGGTCAGTCTTTCTGAGGAGACCACATGATGTGAAAGTTGTTAAACAGCCAGTGTATGGCTCTTTTAAAGGCCTAAAAAAAGAGTCCACCTTTTCACACTGGAAAAGACTTCAAATAAATGTTTTAAACATCTCAATGTTTGGATAGTTATTTATAGGGTTATAAGATGTTCAATGCAATAAGAGAAGGAAAGTAACTTGTCTGCTGCAGCTATTACAGGACAGCGGTTACACTTGGGTAATTATGTTTGAAACTTGTTAAAGGAATAAGGTCTAATTTGGGACATATGCAGGTCTTCATTCAGGTCCATTTGGCTTTTAAACTAGGCTCATTAATAGGATTTGATAGTCCTGGCCTTTATAGAAGTATAACATCTGGAGGGAGTCTAAAGTGATGCTCACACTGACAGTGATTCACTGCCACAAAATCAGTGTATGAAATGTACGCTTAGTATTCATGTTGGTTTTATATGGTTTTGTAAATGTAATACAAGAAAAGTTTTAATCTAAAGGTAAATAATGTCACGAGTTGTAAAGTAAAAATTTATAACATTTTTATAACATGTGAGTGTAAACATCTTAATTATTTCCAAAAATGTTTTAAACACATTTTTCAACATAATTTTTTAAAAATAAAGTAATTATTAATTATTAAGTAATTTGCTACATATTTCATTAAGCAATATTTCACAACCTGGCTTAACACTGCCTTGTTATAAAAAGTTCAAAAATATAAAATATAAAATAATATTACTATATAAAATATCCATCTGTCCATTCTCTAAACGATTCTCCTATGTTTGTTTCCAGGGATGCTGGAGCAAAATATATAAAATATGAAAATTACTGATATATTAAAATATATTTTAAGACATTTAATTCTTTGTTCTTTTTTCCCCTTCATGTTGGTTGCAAGACATGACTTTGGTTTAGTGGACAAAATGCTAAAAATAAATAAATAAATAAAATAAGACCTTGCTTCCTAGTTTTATTTACTCTTTTTCCAAGAAATAATAATCTTTTTAATAAGGCTTATTTTCCATCTCTGAGAGCGATCTGCCACCTCATAAAGCACATTGACAACAATTTCCAGTGATTAATCAGAGTGAGTATGAACGGCCCTTAAGACTCGCTAATCCTAATCAGCCTCATCATATTTATTAGTGAACATCATTTTTAATTCCCAATTCAGTATCAGAGACTCAAAAAACATGTTTGTTTGCCAGCATTTAAACATTAAATTTAGCACAAACAGACATCAGGCCATACAAATGAGAGCTGTTAATAGGTTTCAAACCACACAAATCCAAAAATGGAGTCCAGGGAAAGTTTACATACAGATTTAACAGAGAGCACCAGCACCAGGGGGCACGAACGCCAGTCACGTCAGCATTGTGACGAACTGACAACTTTTAAATTGGCAGAGTCTTTCTCTCTAAGCTTATGAAGCCACTGTAATTGGCATTCACACGTGGCGGCAGCAACACCTGTTAGTCTCATCCTGGGTTTTTGAGCTGTCTGAGCAATTCCAGAAAAAGGAAAGACAGAAAAAGACAGACAGAGACTTTTTCACCCACCTGGATCAATGAAAGATCCTCTAAATGTAGCCTGAAGAGATGATTTCTGAAAAAGAAAAGACAAAAAATATATGAATTTCCACCCAAATCAGAACACAAGTTGCCTCAGAGAGTGGGAAGGCATTGCGGTTATAAATGGAGATTTCTATGGGTTGCAACATTTCAAGTGAATCCATGCGCAATAGCAATTGGCCAATGATGTGAGAGGAATGTTTTGAGCTTTTTCAGAGATAAACAAGACTATAAATAAAACAGAGGATTGGGAACTAAATTGGCAAATTAATTGCTGAATAAATCACATTAATATGCTCCCAATACACATCCAGGTTTAATACAACCTGGTGTAACAGTTCAAGTTCAGTTTTTCATACGATCTATACCTGGATGAAGTCTAAAAGTGTGTTAGAGCCAAAAACCTCTTATGCAAAGTGTGCAGTCTACTGTCACTTTAATGAGCCAATGCTGGACCTTGCCTAAGGATAAGATGCTTGTTTGGAGCAGCAGAGGCCTGTAAATGCTGCATGAATTTTAATTCTGGGAAACAAAAAACAGCTCAAATTGCTTCTCCAAACATCTTGGACCAAGTATGTAATATAGTGTAGCAATATAGTGTTCTGCCAACTCTAATCTCAAATGTAAGTTATATGTGCAACTACAAATCGCATATCCGTCCGACATGATTTTACATCCATCTGTGAATGTCGGAAGTACAAACACATTTGCTAAAACAATATGGTATGTAAAAGGAAAGTGGAGCCTGTATTATTGGATAAGCGAGTACATGATAAATCATGTTGCTGTGATTAAGGTCCACTTACTGAATTGACATGTCTATTGATTGTGTTTCACTACATTTCCGTTAAAGACTTTTGAGGTTCTCACTATCAATGGTTCCTTTGCACGGACTACTGGACCATTATTTCTGTAATGACCATACAGCTACACTATCAATATCAAGGTATTCTGAACGTATACTGTGCTCGTTCTAGGTTATTAATGACTATTCCATTTGTAGTTGCATTTGAGTGCAGTTCTGTGGGGCGTCAGGCACAATGCGATCTAGCCAAGTGCGACAACATCCTTTGAATCATTATTCTTTGGTTCTGGAAAAATATTCCTATTAAAAAATGAAAGGCCCAAATGTAGCCATAACCAAAGATACCTATAAAATAAGATGGAAACTCTTAACTTTAACTCTACAATCTGATTGGCTGATAGAAAGCATAATGTCAACACAATATTTATAAGAACACAAACATCAAGCAATGTCAAGGTCACTTTTAAAGATAGTTTGCATATTTATGTAGGTCATTTTAATAGCTTGCAACACCAAAAATACTAAAGTGAAATACACCGCTTCGCGTCGTGCCTAACATTGCCCATTAGCCGTTATAAATTCACTGTAAACTATGGCTTCTTGGGGCTTATTGCTTTAATATATATATATATATATATATATATATAAAACATTTCTCTCTCTCTCTATTCACATTAATTTGTATAAAAGGTATAACAAAGGTTGTTGTTTTTTTTTACAGTTTTTGTATGTTTCAGTAGAGGCATGATGACTCAATATTTGACATTCTAAGTGCCTGTACTTTAACAGGTCTGCTCAGTCTGGTGTTGGTAATTGGCACAATGTTTCTTGAACTGCTGAGTATCTTCATGAGAACCCTGCTGTTCAGTGACCCTGATGAAGCAGCAGCTCAGCTGGAGAACCTTCACACAGTCCATTAGGCCAGACTGTGGGTGCATTTGGGCGGCCTTGGGAACTGCAAACCCATCTGCTCCAGGGATAACCAGTCGAGGCGAAAGCATCATGGAGTTCCACCAAGACAAGACTTTAGTTTTTCTCTTCACAGCTCAGTTTGAACAACATTGATCCACAGCCCCTGACTCATCCTATCCACAGTGATTTACAATAACCACAGAAAGATAGCTGACCTGCATAAACAGTGTTGTTTATAGTTATTTTCACCTCCCCAATCGAAACAAATTGATAGAAATGACTGTCATACGGTTCTCAGTAGGGAATGATCTGGTATGTATATTTAATGCAGATAACCAATATATTAGCCGAAATAAAATTAAGTAAAAATAAATAAATAAATAAAAATACACCCCGATATGATAACCACTTTTTTATGTATTTCTGAGGCAGATAACAATATATTAGCCAATAAATAAATAAATATATTTTTCAAAATTAAAATCAGTTTTATACAGTGTAAAACGTTTTAGTTTTAAAACAGGCAGAATGGCAGTGTATCTTATGACAATGACATTATTCTTAACCCATAATTATTTAACAAATACAGACCTGCTAAATAATTTCAATAAAGAAATTTTAAATTCTGAATTTTCAAAGCTTCTTAAATAAAAATTAAATGAAACACACACACACACACACACACACACACACACACACATATATATATACATACATACATATAATTTTATTTGTATTTTTTAGCCAACAGGAAATAATGTGTCCCATGATCGTGTGGCTATAATTTATCACCTTAAATACATTGGGCTATTTTACTTAATAACATTAAACAGTAAAATTTGTCGGCTGACATTGATATATGACTGCTGATTTATTGTGCTTCCCTAGTTCCCAACCTCAATCTAAAGAGCATTACTGGATTCATTTAGCTCCAGTTGTTTAAGAGGTTTGCTGTCTCCAAAACCCAAACCCGAAAGTACAACACATCTATTGACAGAATGAATCATTAGCTGGATCTGAGTGACTGAGCATTCTCATTATAGGAAAACAATCAGAACACAATGTCTGGAAAAAAAATTCAACAAGTGTTTCCTACTGTATAACAGGTCAAAAGAGTCTTTTCGATTGAGCCATTACAGCAGATATGCACTTCTTTGTAACACCAGCAAGACATTTTTGATGTTTGGAGAGAACAAAGAATCCCAACCGCAGTTCATCCAGCTCTTTAGCCAAGTCAGACTTGATAATGATGTGTTGCACTTTAGAGCAGGTTCTGAGAGCTAACTAACACTTTCCGTCTCGTTACTTTCAAGTTATAAAAAACCCAATCTGCTCATGATACAGTGAATCACTAGTGAAGTGAATGGTAATCCCTGCTTCTCTGAGAAAAAGTAATTATTCTACCGCTCCCGGCCCTGTGGGTGAATGAACTGTTACAGTGCCTCATATCCAACCATTTCTGCGGCTGTCACAAAATAATTGCTTGGAGACCATCCAGGCTGCTGACAGATCAGGAATACGAGATTAATTTGGCTAAAGATGTATGGCAGGACAGTGCGAAAGTCTATGTGGAAATCATCACACTCATTAATTAGAGCTGGACACAGGAAATCCTATCCTATTCTCACATTCATGGTGCGATTTTATCAAAGTATCGGTCGGTGAGGAGGGTCTATGCTGTACAAAAGTCCTACAGTTTCACTGTGTGGTTTTATGAGGACTCGGATTATGTGTCACTATTGGGCTAATCATGGGAAACTTGGCAATTGTGACATTTTCGCAGTGGGTGTCAATTTGGTGTTGCTGAAAATATAGTAATATATAAATGTAAGGCTTAGCAGACACACTGACAGAGCCTCTGACAATGACACATTCATTAGTATACTGAGAACCATGGACTGAGTCCTAATTAAATTTCATGCAGTGATGGAAGAAGTGACCATTACCTTGCGCCCACGATTAGTTCATTCTGGCCGGGGTCAAAGGTCAGCTGTGAATAATCAACGGTGCCCTCAGCTCTGAATCGGTGGATCCAAGGCTCGATTTCTGCAGAACAAGAGAGGGCACATGTTAGCAAACATCACAACTGATACATACACAAAACTGTCTTTTTTTATATTTCCCTTTAGTTTGAGTGCACCGGAGTGCATTTGTGTTTGTTTCTGTGTGGGTGTATGGTATGCATATAAAATGTTCTCGCTGTGGCGCCTTTCATATTAACCTCTGGCCTTGACATCAAAGCCTCAATCTTGGCTTGTCTAGCATCTTTTTGCCTACCTACCTCTGTGTAATGGGATAGCTGCTGGGTTAGCTGTTCCAGTAATGCTATCATTTGATAAGTCATGATACTGGTCATTGCTTTCGCTACTGGTCATTACTGCTCAAGCTCTGGGATACAGGTTTCACATTAACACATGAGATGAATGGACTATATGTATCTTGTAACTCTGTAAAGATCACTAATAATCATGCATACATAAAAAAAATATAATTAAATATATAAATAAAAAAACATAAAATAATAACATGTAGAAACAATACACAATAATACATATACAAATACATATATAAAAATAAAAATTATATAAATACATTATATTGAATAGACAGACAGACAGACAGACAGAGAGACAGACAGATAGATAGATAGATAGATAGATAGATAGATAGATAGATAGATAGATAGATAGATTTATAGATAGATAGATAGATTTATAGATAGACAGACAGACAGACATACAGACAGATAGATAGATAGATAGATAGATAGATAGATAGATAGATAGATAGACACACA